TTATATATAAATAAACATTTATATATTATATATAAATATAAATACGTATATAGAATATACTACATTTTGTTAAATATGAACCAACTAATGCTGAGCAGCACTTGTGAGACAGGCTCCAAACCATTATGTTTATATAAGCCAGTCTCACTTAAGTGAACAGTTTTCATTCCCAGGAGGCAAAGGACTGCCTTTCCAAGGGAACATGCTCTTGAGCCCTACAAATGAATGAGACTGATAGGGTGATTCTCCTCCTCTTTCTAAACCTTGTTTCAAAAACATGAGTCATAGTAGAAAGCATCTTATTACCATTCAAAATAAATGGATCTGCATGTGCCTGCTGGGACTTGAATGCAGCAGCTCCAGGTGTTTGGAACGCTGACCACCAACCCAAAGCAGGGCAAAGACAGCGCATCAGTCTCTTTGTCTCTGTTTCTCTGTCTTATGTTTATATTTTGCTTCCAGTTCTAATGATTTCATCAAACACAGCACAGAAATGCTGGAACCCTCAGGCTTTGATTGCGTGGGGTAGCAGGCAGGCTTCATGCAACTGATTCAGAGCAGCTTTACATTTGAAATTAAATGCTTAGCATATTTTGCCCAGGTGCCAGTAAACAGGCTTAGAAATGATATGTTTCTGTGATTTTTTTTTTTTTTAAAAGATTCCCCTTTGGATTGCACACATAGCCTTTGGATAGTCATTACAACACAGGTCTTTGCTATTTAGAAATAAGTTGGCAGCTTTTGCCGTGGGTTCAGACAGGAAGGGTGGGGTAACTTTTGCCAGTTAAGCAGCTGTACTTTGAATAAGTTGATTCAAAAAAGGAGTTTACAGTTTCCCAGTTAAAGAACTTGTTACAGAAAGTGGACAATATGTAAGGCGACACTGTTTTGTTAGTCCAAGTTGAGAGGCTGATTCTGACAGAGAATATACTGTACCTCTCCATCCTCCAGTTCCACATCCAGGAAATCAAAGTCCCTGAAGACTCGAAACTGCTGTTCACTGTTGGTGTCATCCATGTTCTCCTGCTCCCGGGCACCGTCCTCAGAAGACACCAGGCTCGTCTGATGCTCTAGCAGATCCAGGTCCCCACACGAGGAAAAAATCACCTACGAATCAAATGAGCCCTCTTCTGAGAAACTCGTCTTCCTTTGCTTGTTTGTGCTACGAGCACTGGTAATTGGCTCTCTGCAGGACTTTATTTCCAGTACACACCTAATTCCTTAAGTGGGTATTTTTAGAATGTTCTTTTATTATTTATGTTGGACAGGTGCCTTTGGATTAAACTCGCTGCAAACACTCACGCTCATGCACAGGGAAAATATTCTAGAGTTGAATTACTACTTCTTAGTGGGTGAGGATGGGATTCCACATGTGTGTGTGTGTGTGTGTGTGTGTGTGTGTGTGAGTGAGTGTGTGTGCAACAATTAAGCAAGCATTCTCAGACAACTTGGAATAACTAAGAAAAAAGTGTCCAGTGTCTCCATGGCTGACTGTGGTTAGAAATTATACACTTTCACACATTAAATATATATAAATAATTTTAAAGATAGATACCAAGATATGTTATTGTAGAATGAACCATGGGAACAAAGGATTTAACTCTTTGGGAGATAAACCAGGAACTTGGAAGGATTAAGAAATAGAAGCCAAAATTCTATGTTTAGGCTCCTTCCATTGAGACATTTTCGTATAGTTTTTTAGCTTAATACACTTTCACACATTAAATATATATAAATAATTTTAAAGATAGATACCAAGATATGTTATTGTAGAATGAACCATGGGAACAAAGGATTTAACTCTTTGGGAGATAAACCAGGAACTTGGAAGGATTAAGAAATAGAAGCCAAAATTCTATGTTTAGGCTCCTTCCATTGAGACATTTTCGTATAGTTTTTTAGCTTATAGCTTATCTCTTTCAAAAGTGGCTGTAAGTTTTTAGGTTCACAGTTAAATTAATAGTTATATAATATTGAACTCAGTTATAAACCCTATAAGACATAAAATTGAATGAGGTTTTAACTTTTAAAACAGATCTCCATTTCATTTTAAAATATACTGTTTCATACAGAAAAATTCACTTTTAATGCTACTAACCCTTAGATGTTTGCACATGTGTCTCTAATCTCTATGTATCTGATTATTACTAGTCACAGTCGGTTACACTTGGATCCTTGGCACCTGAGTATGGATATAAAGTCATCAGGTAGAGTTCAGTGATAATGTTTTTCACCTCTAATTAATATGAAGCAAATTTTTATGCTTCTTCCTTAAATATAACTCATTTTTTTATTTTTGATTCTTCTGTGTATTTCATACAGAACATCTTATTCCTCCATATACCCACATCCGAAGTAACAACCTCCCATGCCCCCATACACTGGAGCACATAAACTGTCAACCCTTATCCCAATCTTATTCATTTACATATCCACTTCCCAAATGGCACCCTCCCATAGCTCCCTCCCCACTAGAGCCCATATACTCTGTTAACCCCATTACTGTCCACTGTGTTGTCGGTGCCCCCAGCTGTTCCCCAGTGCTTGTCCATTGCTGAATCTAGTCAGCCTATCTAGAGTTCCTTGTTTTAGGCAGATCAGCTCTTCCTCAACTAGCAGCAATCAGTTGCCAATAGTCCTTTAGATAAGATTGGGGTCTGCTGTTCATTTTCCCAGTTCTATGCTGGGTTACTGTCTGGGAGTCTCTTGGGCCACCCTGGCCAACAACTCAAAGGAAGGTATCTCCTGTCTGGCATTGTTTCTTGTTATGTATGTAGCCTTTAGCTATACATATGGATTCTTAAAAAAATTATATTGACCCCTTTAATCTTTGGTTATACTTTCCTTTTGGGTGTTTAAGACCATACAGTTGTTTGTTTATTTATTTATATAGATCTTTTTGAGACAAGGTCTCCCTGTAGCCTCAGTGGGACTGGAATTTGCTATGTAGAGCCAAAATTATCTTGGAATATTTTTGGTTCCCTTAATAACCATTCCTTGCCCACCCTTGAGTCTGACCTAACATCTTTTTGACTATTAGGTAAAAACTTTTGAACTCTATACTTGGCAGTCTACCAGCTTCCACCAAACCAAAGCTAAGCACATCATCAGATAACAATGAAAACTATAGCAGAGTTTTCCCTGTGTCACTGCAGCCTGCAGACTTTACCAATGTAGTCAGTCAATATCTTGATTTATGTCTTTGTTCTATAACTAATAAAAGCTCATGTAACCACATCCATGATGAAACTTGTCATTCAGGTCAACCTGAATATGTGTTCCCAGGCCACAGTCACTCATTTGTGGTTCAAGAATAAACACTCTTATTTTTTGAGGTGAGAAGTATGCTTTGTGTTGATGCATTATATAACTATTATAATATTCTAGTCTTCCTTGAAAGTAGGAAAACTTAAATCCTGGTAAGAATTTAAATATAATGAATTCCCTCCAAAATAATTAGGCTGAATGGTTGACAGATGTAATTTTTCTTTAGTGTTTAAGAATAGCCATATGCTGTGCACTGTACAGGTTAAGCTTCTCAGATTTGAAAATCTGAAATCAACTGTCAATAACTCCAGTTCCAGGGGCTCTTATACCCTCTTCTGGCATCCCTGGGTATTGTATGCATGTGATATACTTATGTACATGCAGGCAAAGTACTCAAATTAATCTAAAAAAAATTCATGAGGTCAGAAGGAACAACTCAGGGGCTTGGAGGAGATTGGAGTAGATTGTGGTATCGGACTCATCATTCACACCAGAATCTTAGCCTATATGATCGATGACAGAACAGACCAACAGCAAAGAGATACAATACCAAAATAACCATAGCACATGATAGAACTTACAGAGGGGTTTTTGCTGAGTCCTACTTCTTGGCCACAGAGAGAAAGAACATGCACCAACTTTTCTTTTGTTCTCTTCTGGAAAAAGAACACAGGACAGGTTTAATTTTGGGGTCCCACGAACAAATCTGTCCGAATATTGTAGACCTTAGCCATGAAGAGTGGATGGTTGTGCTTGAAATGTGGCCACTGAGAACTGACATGTAGAACACACAGGCTTGGAACAAAAAATAATGTAAAATAGTTTGCTGATAATTGTAAAATACCAATAACACATTCAAACAATATTTTAGATATACTGGGTTATATAAAATATCATTAGGGCTGTAAGATGGCTCAGCTGGTAAAGGCACTTGCTGCCCAAACCTGGTGACTTGAGTTGGATCTCCTGAACCTTCATAGTAGGAGACGAGAACTGACTCCTACAAGTAGTCCTTTGACCTCCACACATGTACTGTGGTACACATGTGCCATGGCACACATGCCACCCCTGCAATAACTTTAAATAAACAAATGTTAAAAAACATCAAAAGTTAACTCCGCTTGTTTCTTTTATTCTTTTTTCTGTGTGGCACTGAGGAATAAAGCCTGAGCCTCAATCAGTGCTAGCCAAGTGCTCTTAACACAAAGCTACATCCTTAGCTCTCTTTTTTGTTTGTAAAATGACTGTTAGTCAATTTAAAATGAGGCTCACTTCATGTTTGTATTGTATAAGGCTGACCCGTTATATAGGGTATGTGCATCTCTGAAGATCAACTCCTGGGCCCTTCAATGGCTATCCACTGCATCCCTTGATAATCTTCCTTATATATTACAACTTTTGGTTTTAGCAAAGCTTTCTTTCCATTATAATTAAATCTATTTTATTACAGCACAAACCTTTCTTTCCTCAAATGAGAGAATAATTTTACTTTTTGCAGAATGAAAACATTGAGTTCTTCAAATCCTTTAATCTGTTTTTTTTTTCTTCCTAAAGACAAATAGATTTAATTCCCTTTGTATTTCTTTACGAACCTTATTTTCCAGCCTCTTATGCATGGGGGCTCTTCAAACCATCACATTTTCCAATGATAAAAAGAATGTCAGAATGACTGACAACTTTAGAATGAAAAGAATTAATATCTTGAGCCTAAAATGTTAATGCACTATAGAACTCTTCTTAAAGCAACCTTCTTAATCCCCCTTTTATTTGATTTAGGTTTGTTATGTGGAAGCTCCTAGGAGGCAATATGACTCTAAGACTTTTCTTAATGGAAATTTGTTCACTGCATCTTTCCTCCAGATCATAGAAGGACAGTCAATACAGGGTCATTTCAAAGTCAAACAGGAGAGCTTTGATGTTGAATGATAGCAGATTTGCTTAGTTATTTTCCTAAGTCTTAGTATCATTTTATATTTCCGGGAAGGAATTGGTAGGAAGCAACATGGCAAAGGCTTATGATCACAACAGCTCAGCCACTGGTCTTTCCACCAGGCTCTGTGCTACAGACTTCACTTCTCAAGTCCTGGAGATGGTGGTGAGCCATGGGGCATGCAAACACTGTTTGGCTTGCTCAGTACCCACTTAGCCTACTTCTGATAACCAGGTTCTCTTTCTATCCTGGGAAAGACCCCTTTCCCATTAAGTAGACTTTTTCTATCCTCAAATGCTCTGTAAGAGTTTCCAGAACTGCTATGGGTGTCAGAAGGGGTCTGGCCTTTGCCTTGAAACCATCAGAACCAAAACCCATGAAAATCTGGAGTTTCCAAAGGCTGCTGCTCTGTCCTATAGAAAGAGACTGTCTGAGAATGGAGATAACGGGGGGAAAACAGGGGAGGGGGCTATGACTTTGGGAAGAGAAGAGGGGGTGAGAGGAAATTGAAGGGTCTATATGCTAGGATATAGTTGTGCTTAAAGCCAACACAGATGCTGCTACAGCTTTGATCTTCAATTTCCAGCAAAGGCCCATGTGACTAAAAGGTGGTAGACCCTTTAGGAAGTCAGGCCTTGTGAGTGGAAGTTAAGTCACTGGGGGTGTGCTCTTGAAGGGGATAGTAGGACTCCAGTCCCTTCCTCTCTTTTTCTTTGCTTCCTTCCTGTCATGATATGAACAATCCTCTTCTGCAATGTACTCCCATCATGATGCACTGTGCTGCCACAAGCCCAACAACAGCCAAGTGACTACGGGGTGGGCCATGGATGGAAACCTCTGAAACCATGAGCCAAAATAAACCTTTATAAGTCAATTCCCGTGGGTGTTTTGACAGACTGACATCAAACTGACCAACATAAATGGTTTAATAAATTCCTTTTTCACTTAAGGTAACTTTTCAGTGGGTATCTACTGTATGTCACTAAAATACTTGTAAGTAGTACAGAGGTTTTAACTGACTGCCAAGTGGTATCAATACTATGATAGTTTCCCATCCAGTCCTAGGCTGTGATAACCAAACTATAGAGATCTGGCAGCTCCTGCTCTGTGTGGCTTGTTTTGCAAATGTTGACTCTGATTAAAGTTTATGTTCTGAGGAGAATAATCAGAAAAGCCTTTGAGTATGAGTCCTATCAGCTTTTGGGAATCTAAATCCTCTAGGACATTATTACTTGGAGGACTCATCTGAGTGAGGGACAGGGGAGGTCTCTTTAAACATTCTGAAGGGTTGCCATGTGAAAGGTAAGATTTGTTCCACAAGTCTTAGAAGCAAGTGAAAAAACGACAGAGTCAGACTTCAACTCAGCATAATGAACTGTTCACAGACCTAAGGAGGGCCCTTAGAATGCTGCTAGATGCCATTGCTGGATGTGCTGGGGTCTAGATGTTATGGGGGTGAATGGAGGAATCTACATACACTGTCACAGGGGGAGATGGGCCCAGCAGGTTCTCTAAACTCCCCTCCAATGCTGAGAGTCTAGGATTGTGTACCTGGGAATACTGGGGCCTTTTCCAGCTCACAGGAACAAGGACATTGGAGTTGGAGCCTGATGAGGTGGACGATGCGCTCCGGGTGACGGCCATGGCCCTAGGCTTCCCATCCCGCCCAGAGGAATTCTGTAGTTCATCATAACGTCTCCCGATGATTGGTGTCTGGGAAAGAATACAAAAGCACATATTATTGCATCATAATATTCTGTAGTATAAGGAACTGTTCGACCCAGAAATAATCAGAAACTGCTCATGTGAATAAAAATCCGATTAGAGAAGTGCAGTGTTACTTGTAGGCTCATCTCCTGCTGTTTAATACACATTCTGAACCATCTGTATATTGAGCATTTCCTCACCCTCTTTGTCAGCAGGAAACTAATGCAATGTGTTGTTCTTTGCTATGCATTAGATGCCGGTGATAGATGAGAAGCAAAATGTGCAGGAAAGTTAAGTCAGTTTTCAGATGTTTGAGCTTGAAAGAATCAACCTTCTTCTCTTGCCCCCCTCTCTCTGAGTCAAGGTCTCCTACACAGCCCTGGCCTGCCTGCCAGGAATTTACTGTGTAGACAAGGCTTGTTTTGGAGTTGTGACTATCTTCCTGCCTCTTTCCCCCAAGTGCTAAGATTACAGATGTGTGTCACCATGCTCAACTTGAAAGAATTTCTTGTAACAAAGGATTAAAATTTATTTCCCTCTTTCTGTTAGTCGTCCATCTTTATGTACTCTCAATTATTTAAAATTGTATCTAAATTATTTAAATCTTTTCAATTATTCAAATGGATTGAGGTCATGGATAGAAAGTTGTGCAATACTTTATAAATTTCACTTTCGGAGAACCCTACCATAGGGTGGCCAGGAAAGGAACTTTCTGAACTTTAAGCCTTCTGAACTTTAGTGCCCAGGAGGTCTAATAGACACCAGCTTGTAATCCTCAGGGTGTCATCATAAATTCATACTAAAGTTCACAGCAAGCATTAAAATAGCTAAGTACCTCTGAAATGTCAAAGTGGAAATCCAGAGTCTTTCCAGGTAGCTCCTTAGAAGCACTAGTCCACACTCGGTGGATTTCTATCTTGGAGAGATCACTGTGTGGGTAAGAAGGCAGCACCAGGCTGGCTGATCGAGAAACAACCAACTTCAAGATATTCAGAGCTTCCCTCCAGTGAACACTCTGTAGGAAATAAACATCCAAGGGTTAAAATTAATTCCATTTTTTAGAGTCAGTGATGACTACTGAACCATCTTAAGACCAGTCAGAATTCACTGATTTGAAAATGTAGAAGTTGTTTAATATAGGAGTCCTGTCCATGGACCAGCAATCTGCAGATTCTTAATCTCTACATTTTGGCCATTTGTAACCTTTTGTGTTCCTGTCCCTCAGTTGCATGAAGAACTGGGGAAATAAACAGCAGACCCCAATCTTAGCTGAGGAAACATTGGCAGCTGATTACTGCTGGGTGAGGAAGAGCTGATCTTCCTAAAACAAGAGACTCTAGATAGACTGACAAGACCTCAGTGGATGGACTTGTACAGTGGAATGTCTAGGGACACTGACTTGACACACTGGACCTTAATACAGATGACAGAGTATATGGGTTACAGTCAGGGGGCTGTGGGAGCGTGCTGGTGGGGATGGGAGTATAAAGACAATTAAGAAGAAATTCTGCGATAAGTGAAAGACAAATGATAGATCATATATATGTGTATATATGTATGATATACTACTGTACTACTAGTATATATATATACTATTTAGGAAACAAGCAAATAAAACATATCCATTGTGTCTATATTAAAATAATGAGTTTAAAATGACAAGATATTATTTTTGTTAAGGAGATACCTTAATTTGACAAAAGTAAAAAGCTTCAATTACATGTTACATGATCATTCACTGTCAGAATTTCCCCCCACTCCAGGTTCCTGTCTTCTGGGTCTTTCTGTTTCTTGGAGCCTTGGTGCTCCAGTTATTATTGGCCATACTGCTCTTGGCTTCATACCTTCCTCATCAATTGATGCAGGCATTTGGGAGCCCTTCTACTGTCTTCTAGTACCTTCCCTCCTGATAATTCTGTTCCCTCTCTTCCATCCTTGCTTGCAACTCTGTTGGATTCTCTCTGCCCTGCTTGGACTATTTTAATGGTCTCTTAGCTACAGTGAATGATCTTTATAGAACCTCTTTATAGAATCTATTGTAAATCAAACCATCTTCCTACCTAAATGCCTTCAAGAGCTCCCTCTGGTGGACAAGGGGGAGTTCACACTCCAAGCATGAACTGCAGGGCTTATCCACTCCAAAACCTGTTCAAACCTGTCAGGGTCTCCACCTGTACATGCCTGTCCTCATGCTGCATCCTCAGCCTGGAATGCTTTTCTTTTCCTAAGTCCTATCAATTTCCTAGAATTTCTTTAGGTCTTGTTTCCTTCCCTGTTAAATCCTGCACACATGAGATCATGGTTTGAAGATGAAATTAGCCATGGTTCCAGGTAATTAAGATAAAGAGATGATCCTCAGGCCTAGGAGAGAGTGAGCATCCTAACACCGTAAGAAGTGGGCCACATGCTAGCAACAAGCTGTGAACTTCCGTCTCCTGCGAGTGCTGATCCTGCTACTGAATGCCTCCATGTGAGGCATTAGCACTTGAAAAATGAGGAGAAAAAAGAAAAACTTGGAAATCACATTTACCATTAAGTAATTTCTAGGAAGGGATGTTTAAAATTTACACTATATAGCTTTGTCAATGAGGTTAACTAGGGAAGATTCAGTGTTTGTCCTTGAATTCTGCAGCTTACCAAGTACACCCTGAGAAGAACGGAAAGAACCCAAAGAATACAGAGAAAAAGATGTCCATGCTATGGTGTGGCCTGTCCAGTGAACCCCATGGATGCTGTACGCTATTCTCTTCACACAGAGCAAAGGGTCTATGTGTAGTCTGTGGTCACAGGTATCAGATTAGCTTCCAGGCTCTAGAAACTTGTTCTACTCTGTATGTGCCTTTAGAGTTCAGTGTTTCCCCCTTACCCCCAATGTAGTATCAGCTTTAAAGAAGCAGATGGTAAGAGTTTATTGGTAATTGCCAAGTGTGGTGGTTTGAATGAGAATGTCCCCCATAGGCTCTAAGTGTTTGGACATTTTGTCCCCAGTTGGTGGTGCTGTTTTGGGAGGTCTTAGAGAGTGCAGCCTTGCTAGGGGAAGCATGTCACTGGGCGGTTTTGAGAGTTCTTAAGCCAGTCACTCCCTGCTTCTTGTGCCTGTCTACAGATGTGAGCAGTGGACTTTCTGCTTCAGCTCCAGGCACTCTTCTCCTGCCTCCCTGCCAAGATGGTCTCTAATGTGGCTGGAACCTGGAAAAGTAAGCTCAAATAAACTCTTCTTTCTGTAAGTTCTTTTGGTCAGTTTTTTTTTTTTTCTTTTTTTTTGGTCCTTTTGAGACAGGGTCTCCCTGTGGCTGTCCTGGAACTCACTCTGTAGACCAGGCTGGCCTTGAACTCACAGAGATCCACCTGCCTCTGCCTCTGGAGTGCTGTGATTAAAGGCGTGCACCACCACACCTGGCTGGTCACAGTTTTTTAAAAAATATATTTTGAAGGGCTGGAGAGATGGCTCAGCAGTTAAGAACACTGATTGCTCTAGCAGAGGACCCGGGTTCGATTCTCAGCACCCACATGGTGGCTGTGAACCATCCTTAACTCTAGTTCCAGGGGAATCTGAAGCCCTCTTCTGGCCTCCGCAGCACTGCACGACATGGGTGCACTCACTTACATGCAGGCAATATACTCATACACATAAAATAAAAATAATTTAAAAAATATGCTATTTTTGTGCATGAGTGTATTGCCTGTAAGTGCACCTCTGTTGTGCAATGCCCTCAGAGGTCAGAAGAGGGTGTCAGATTCCCCTGGACTGGAGTTACAGATGGTTGTTATCTACTATGTGAGTGCTAGGAATTGAACCTGGTTCCTCTTTAGGAGCAGCCAGTGTTCTTAACCACTGAGCCATCTCTCCAGCCCACTCACAGGGTCTTATTCCAGCAATAGAAAAGTAACCAATACACCAAGTGTCCTGTTGGGCAGCTTACTGATACAATGAAACAAAAGATTTGGAGTCAAGTTCAATTATCAGGTCCACATATTCAGTAACACATTCCAGAGTAAGGATACATCTCTTTCAAAGGTGGCTGTAAATTTTTAGATTCACAGTTGAATTAATTCAGTCATACAATATTGAACTCAGTATAAACCCTCTAAGACATAAAATTGAATGACTTTTTACCCTTTAGAGAAGATCTCCATTTCATTTTAAGATACGCTGTTTCCTACATTTTTAATGCTACTAACACGTTTGCATATGTGTCTTTAATCTCTAGGTATCTGATTATTACTAGTCACAGTCGGTTACGCTCAGATCCTTAGTACCTGAGTATGGATATAAAGTCACCAGGTAGATTTCACGGGTAATGTTTATCCCTCTACTATTTAATATGAAGTAAATTAAAGTTTTTAATAACTACATGATTAGAAGAAGCATTTCACTACAGCTTTCTTACATCTCCCTGGTCACAGTTCATCAGGGAGCCCAGGGTAGGAACTCAGGGCAGGAACTTGGAGGCAGAAGCTGGAG